CCAAGTTGTACTCTGCTGACTAATTGGAAAGCCTCATAGAGTTTCGAGCATAAACTCGGTCATTCTGCTTGTTATGCTTAATAGTAAAAATTTACTCGTCACTAAATACATTTTTTGTATGACCTCTCATTGCATACCACATAAAAAGTTGTTTTGATTATATCACTGTAGTCATTTTTTAATTATCAGGTAAATAATGAACAATGCGTCTCTTAGGCTGAGCGCAGATTAGAGTCAAGACAGTTGTAACACAATCTTGTCTCACATAGACAAGACAGCTTTAAATTTAAAAAGAAACAGTTGTGTGTATCACGTGGCGGACACCAAGACGAAGCTGTTTTGTTTACGACACACCATTTCATCAGTATCAGAATTCAGAATAGATTTCACCGAAGCTGCCTTTATAAGTATCCTAGTTACACGTGCAATTGCAAAACGGCGGCGCAGACGACGTAAATTTTGGATACACCCCACCCCATATACATACAGTGAAAGGCTGATAAATGGGAAATTTTGTTTACTATATGGTAAATTAAGACACCACCAGAGAAAGTTTTTCCAGTACTTTCGAATGATTGTGTCTACCTTTGATAATTTGATAATAATGGACCCACATATTACTTATCGTATGTATGTATACTTTCTTTTGGCATCAATTGTCATCCCTAATCGCTAGACAGTTTTGTCGTTGGTGTGCGCCCTCGCATACATTACAAAGGGAAGCGGACAGTCGTTAGTTAAACTTGTCGTTGTGCAATTCTTGTGTACATAAGACGTTTTTGTCTATGAGACATCTCGTTTGAAATGTGCACATCTTCATAATTTTTGTTAAGCAATAGTCTGCCTTGAAACTGCCGTGTCTCTAGTCTGCGCTTAGCCTTATAAGCAGTAAGTCTTAAGTCAACTTTTAAAATACGCGACATGGTTATGTGCTATATTCATTTCCCGAGATAAAATCTTATGAGATTTCTTCGATTTGTTTCCTTCACTGATTTGATCGCCTTCTTCGTACGAGTATTAAGTAGACGGCCAGAAGAGTGAAGTGTTAAAAAAATGCATTTGGCCCCATACCTACTTTGTGTAATGTTATCACAGCAATTCGGTTATCTTTATCTGCCCACTCCATTTTAATATCACAAAAATACTTAACATCGATTGGCGCCTAAAATTATAAAACACAAAATCTTAGTTTAATGTAAACTTTCTTAAAATTGCCTTGCCTGCCTGCTTATTTTGTTTTGGGGTCGTAGCGGGGAAATCATGTCTTAAACAAAATGTCTAACATTAGTGACTTATTTGCTTTGTCCTTATACATAGGCGTCATACACCCATTACGTACTATCAACAGGGCATGTTTATTTTCGTCACCAAATAACGTTTACTGTACGTTGGATCTATTGGGAGATTAAACAAGTAGTTCACTTCATAGTAATTAACAAAAGATTTACTTCAATATTTTCCTCGTGAGTCACAAACGTTGCCCAGCCCGCACAACTCAGGAAACGCTAATGTCGGACGGTTTGCGCGTATGCTTTGTGAATACGAAAAACTTTATCAAATGTGTAATGGTGCTCAAATGTGGTGAATTTATTGATGAGATAATGCTGAAGTACCTGAACGGACGCTGCAATCGTATAGTACCACAATTACATAATGTGCGTTATTGTTTTTTTTTCCGCGAGTATTTAATACCCGTTTATTGTGTTATTTGTGATACAAGCGAATATTTTTTTTTGTGATAAGAGGTGATTAAATAAAATAGAAGACCAAGTTGAGAGTTGTTCAGATTTTCGGATATCGGATAATCCCAGAGTTATTATGTAGTCTGTTGGCCTCTAACGACAATGTACTGGGCCATTATAGGAGCTCGCGCTCTCCCTGTGTTAAGAATATTTATTTATTTATCACAAGGAAATAAAAAAGATTGTCTCCATTTCAAATGTATAATGATAGTTTTTTTGTAACTACCCTTTATTACCGGGAAACTGACTTATAAGAATGTGTCAGAACTTTTCATGAATCAGTTCTATTAGTTTATATTAAGAGTAACACCAAACGTTCGATTATATTTTTGATTGAAAATTGCATTTGTTTATAGTCATCCATTTTGTACATTATTAAAGAAGGTAGTTTGCGGTATATCGAAATGTTATTGTAATATACTCTGATCAAAATATAATACTTAGCTTTATGTCATTTATAGTCTACATATTTGTTGTGGACTTATTATGAGATCGGAGATCCTAAACCATATAAGATATTAAAATTACCATTATCATCTTTACATTTCTAGAACCCTTAAACCTCTACGTTCTTTCACTTTTTGCATCCAGTGGCTTCCACTGGCGACCCTTTGAGCTATTGTGGTTCTTTCTCTAGCACAGAGAAACACCGAACATCAAACCAAATTCTCTGTATCGCTCGCTGAGCGACCCCGAGTTTTCTTTGGAGGCCAATAGTCAGCGACCTCATCCCAGATCCGTTTCGTATGTACAAAGTGTGTTTGTGACCAATTCCTCGTTTTAACCATCTTACATATAAAGGTTAGCTGTTGGTGTAATAATGAAATAAGCTGTACAAATAAATGCGTTACGGCAACACGTGGATTAAGATTCTTGTATTGGAAACACCCATAGACTGCGGTAACTGCTTACCATTAGGTCTAGGCAAAGTATGTTATGATAAAAAAAAAACAACTGCACAACTATATTGAAATGATAACTCTTTTGTGATTATATATTATTAATTTAATTTTGTATTGAAAAGAAGAACACTAGTATTATTAATGAATGTTTATCAACTTTCATTTAAACGCATACACAGATATAAATATAACTAACTAAAATAGAGGGAATGAACATGTAATCGATAAAAATTTATAAGTAACTAGCAAACCCGGCGAACTCCGTTTCGCCACCAGATGGCTTCGTTTTATGTAACATTTCGTTTGGTGATTAAAAAAAGTTTTTTTTTAATTTTTCCTGAACTTTCTTTGCTATAAACCTCACGAAGCCCGAGACCTTTCCAACGAAAGCAAAACCGTGGAAATCGGTTCGTGCGTTCTGGAGTTATAGCGTCAGGAAGGAAAACCCGACTTATTTTTATATAGTAGATAAGTTAAACAATTATTATAAAAGGTTTTTTACTTTTAGTGATTTGTTACGTTTTGTGAAGGTAAATTAAAATGAAATGATGATTGATAGTAAAAACAATCTCTCTGTGGTGAGATATTTCTCCTTATTTAGCCTTCAGAACAGCAATGTTTGTTTATTCAGATTATAGCGGCTTCATGCGTCGGGCCAAACATTTGATTGATTTTATTGTAATTACAACGAATATATACATTTTAAGTAAATTATAGCCTATTGTGGAGCATATGATATATTAGATTGGGGAAAAAGTTTCTTCGCATTTTATATGAAAATTCTAAACATTTTTAATAAAGTATATTTACATTTAACTAAAGTATGTAGGTGCCATTTTGTTCGTTAACTTTTTGCCATCTTGTAAACAGGGACATGATCCCATTGCTACAGAAATTCTGGGCCTTCTGATCAAAAAAATCCGTGATAAGTGGTTTTGGTAGCAGTCCTCTCGTGATTTAAACTTGACACTGCCTAAAGAATTCTGAAGAGACCGACACAGGTGGAAATCTGAAGGAGCAAGGCCAGGACTATACGGCGGATCCATTAACACCTCCCAGTCCAACTCTTATTTTTTTCTAAGTGGAGTGGCTAAATATGTGTGAGGTCTAGCGTTATCATTAATGCCGGACGCTTCCTCTCAACTTCTTGCTTTAATCTCATCAGTTGATTGATGAGATTGAGTTGTTCGCAGTAGAGTTCAGAATCGATGGTCCTGCCTGACGGTAACAGCTCATAATGCATAATGCCCTTCCAATGCCACCATACACACAACATCACCTTGTTGCGAGTTAACCCGGGTTTCGCCAGAGTGTGTGATGCCTGACCGGCCTCTTTGTTTCCAGCTTGATTTGACAGAAGTAAATGAAGTCAAATTAAGTAAAATTGTCAAATATTTACCAAATCAAATATAAAATATTTGTTTGTTATCATATATTTTGGCAAATAGCTTATAAAATAAAATAGAATAAAAACAAAGAACAAAACTGTCAAACTTTGGATGAGATTGTCTTAGAATTACTTATTGAAATTTTTGAACAGTTATGTATTTATTAAATAATGATAACAATACTCCCCAGGTTGAAAGCAACAGCCATTTGAGAAAATTTGGTGCTAATATTGCTTATGAGAGCCGTTTATTTCTTCAACTATCCGTTGACAGTTTATGAGAACTTGATGTGTTGTTTATTCAAAATCCTTATATTGAAACTTCGTGATTTCAATTTTACATAACCATTTCTATATTATCTCACTGTTTATTGTAACTTTACCACGAAAAAACACATTTAAAACAATTAATTATAATTTTAAATGCGAGTACTAAAATTTGACAAGTGCACTCTTCAGTGTTGCCAGTCGAAAAAAACTTTTTCCAACTGACATTGACCTTTATTTTGCTCGATATAACTTTCAACCTTGATGAGAGATTAAATATATAATTTGTTATAGAAATTTGATGTGTTGTTGACTATAAAATTAGGAATTGGATAAGTCCATCAATCAAATACCCGAATGTAGTGCTAACACTTCACATGACTTTGTTTCGTGTCTGCTATTTGTAATTTTGTCAGCAAGTTGTACTTATCATACTATTTAAGAAATGAAAAGGAGAGACTGTTGTCAAGTTTATAAAAATAGCAAAAACGGATAGCCATGTGCAGTGCAGGCATAATAATACTAAACCATATAAACAACATTTTAATGTAAGAAAGATGAGATTAATTTAATACAGGCATGTCTCATCTCCTCTCACATTACCACTGTGAAATAAAAGTTGCTGTTGTATTTGTCTGTTATCTATGATGCGAGGAGACTAAAGATTCTATTATTCTTAAGTTTCTATTAATTTGCACATAGGACGGCTTGGAGGTTATGCTGTCAGTGCCAAAGAAGGCAAATGACGCGATGCACCTCTCTTTGCTGGAGGGGTGCGACGTGCCCGCCGACAGCTTGGGCGAGGTGGTGCTGCAGGACTCGTTCCACGTTTGGGACCTGCGCCAGATTATCAAGAAGGGCCGCGAGCGACGCGTCTTCCTCTTCGACCTGCATTTGCTACTCGCCAAGGAGGTCAAAGACTCACACGGGAAGGCCAAATACATCTACAAAACTAAATTTATGGTTAGTGCACACCTCAAATTCAATCCTGAGTTGTAATGTTTATACTTTGTGTATACTTTATTAACTTTTCGCAAATTGTCACGAAATATTATGATAGATTTGTTTATTTCTATATACAGGGTGGTCCGAAAATACCCCATGTATGTTCCGCGATTTTTCTTCTTCCGCTTCCCCAGGTGCGAGGAATCTAAAAAAAATTGTTGACGTCACTAATTGGACCACCCTGTATGTATACATATATATGTATTGCATGTAATGTATTTTGTTATTTATATTTAGGAGGCACACACTGACTGCCTTTTTATGCTCTTTCCTTTCGCGGACCTGCTGGAAGAAATTTCATTATGAAATAAGCAGTGCCATTGTACAAATTTGTTGTTTCTGTTTTATTGTGTTTGTACTAAATTAGTAAATAAATAAACTACCTATATATGTATATTTATTTTAAATTAATGTGTATTGCCAACTTTGTATGTTTATTCGGTTTCTTAGACGTCAGAACTGGGAGTGACCGAACACATAGAGGGCGATGAGTGTAAATTCTCGGTATGGACCGGGCGAGAGCCCATGGCGAGCGACTGTCGGATAGTTTTGAAAGCGCCTTCCCTAGAAGTAAAACAGACCTGGGTCCGCCGCCTGAGGGAAGTCATACAGGTGACTATTCAAATTTATATTTACTATAACAATTTTAACTGTTCCGAGTGTTCCGTTATCAATTCCGGGAACAAAATGAATGTATATATTTTTTTCCTTTAATAATAGCGCGCGTAATGAGGCGTCATTGGAAGTTACAAAGAACTTATTGAGTTCGCCAGTAATATTCTGGATAAATAATTTTATTTCTGTTAGCAATATTAATGACGCAGTTCAGTGTGTTTTACATAAAAAATATTTAGAGACCGTACCTTTAATATATTGAACAATAGATTTTTATTTTTAGTCATACTGGTTAGGCATATGTTAAAAAGATAACAAAATAGTATATTTTTGCTCTAGTCAAAACAAAGCCCACGATTAATTTATTGATCCCATTTATTTCGTTTAGGCAACAACGTACTTCAGCGGTGCGTTACAACAGCCACTGTGGATTCCTTACTTTTAATGTATTTGAACAATAGATTTTTATTTTTCAGTACCTACATGGTATATCATAATGGTTAAGCAAATGTTAAAAAGATAACAAATTAGTTATATTTTGCTTAAGTCAAAGCAAAGCTCACGATTGATTGATTTATTTGAATTATTTCGTTTAGGAAACGTACTTCAGTGGCGCGTTACAGCAGCCGCCGCGGAGTCCGGCCCGCGTGCGGCCCACTAGCTCGCAACGATCCAGCAGGTAAACACGGACGACCTCGCCGTTTGAGGAAAACAACATATTTATTCACCACTGCATAGCTGTTGATGCTTTTTTCAATATGGATATAAGCCAGTAAAAAGTTTAAAAACGATTCTTATTTAACAATGCAGTTTTTCAGTGTAGATTTTGAATGTTTATCGCTTTTCTCAATGACCTTCTATATAGCTACATAGACTTCGCCTAGACGCGCGAAACGTGTTATACCGTGTCCAATCGCACGAAAAGTAGTATTTCTCCGCAGCCGTGTCATGATGGCAAGCTGTAAAGATGTCGAAGTGTGTCGTCAAAAATCTTATTAATGCCCCAGGGATCAAAACATGTATTAATTTACCTACCACCGTATTGATAATTTCATCTATAAAAGACAACAGCCAAAAATTAAAAAAAAAGTTATATATCCAGTTAAATTTCAATAATCATCTTAAATAAACGACAAAAGTTTCTATACCTTTCTCCTTTGACTAATAGAAAAAGAGGAAAAATGACGCGACAACAACATAGTCATAATAAAATTAATGGAATAGTTTCTTGTATAAAAATATATGCATTTTGCTTCTAGATATTTATATTTTGAGAAAATTTTAAAGGTTTTTTTATAACTATATTATTGTAATTTAACTTTAACTATTAATACCATCGCTTATATTCAAAAGACTGTCGATTACGATGCGACCAAAAGTAATGGCCCTGTATAAAGAGCTCAGGTATGGGGGGATAACTTCACAAGGTGCAAGGTTGCTATCCTGCCACGCTCGAGTGAATCCCAAAATTCCCGCTTTGGCTCTCATAGTATTAGGCTCTCGTAGTATTAGTAGGCTTTGTTAGTGTAAAAAGTAATAAGTTCATATATATAGGTGGTCATTGCCTTTTCTGAATATTTACTCTATAAAAATAGTGTGTTTATAAATGATAAAATGATGAAACAATTGAACTCATGTAAGTCAAAATAGTATTGTAGCAACAAATGAAAGATACAAGAAGTTAAAAAGCTTTGAATTTAATCTTTTTGCCACACTTGTTACTTTGCCACTCTTCGCTCTATAAAGAGGACTCATTCAACATTTTGCACTGAAAGGAAGTACTAATAAATCTGGAATCTGAATATATATGACCTTAAAAAATAATGGTCATTTGCTCCAAACCGACACACATGAATTATTTATATTTACAAGAGGCTCATCCTACAGGGACTTGGACGACACGGTACTAGACGAAACCACAGAGAACTTAGACCGCAATTCTCTAGCGTCTTTTGGAAGCGGCAACACCACCGATTCCGACAAGGTAAGCCTAGTTTTAAGTTTCTATTGGCAGCAAATGTACATCAATGCTAGTGTTCTCCTAACTATATAAATGATTTGGTCGGCCAGAAATATCGAACTCTGGTGAAAGATGCTATAAGTACTACATTGGGTTGTGTAACTTTCAATTTATTGAAATCAAATATGCTCAATCAGTCATTTTAGCAAAATTGTGAGGCCTTTACACAGACAAATAATTTATTGCCGACGACGCGACTGTCGAATAGCTCACTCTTACAGCTGCAAATTAAATGTAAACTCGAATTCAGTGATGTCGAGCGAGCGGTCAACTGTAACAAATGTTTACGCCTGAAATCGGCCGCCGACTGAAAGAGTGGACTGGTGATACGACACAAACTGAACGCAGTTTGTAAGTAGGCCGATTCTATAAAATAAAATCTCAATTCTCAATTGATAGCTCCAACTTTAGACAGATAAATTTGTATTACGCCATTACACGGCGGAATGTCAGAATGACTATAGAAACAGCCAGTAATAGACTGATCAAATGTCAAAAATCCGAATAAATAAGATCGGAAGTGAGATTGCATCTTACAGAATCGAAGTCCTGTACTCGCGGCCCCCCACTTAAATATGTAGGAGGAAAACTGCAAGTCACATACTATCATCGAATGAGCCTTTGCGTCACCTTAATTTTCAGATTACAGTTTTAGCCAAATGGAATATTAGGAAATCCCAAGGCTAACTTCCAACGAATCAACTTTATCTAGGATGCCCCTAACGTGGGTTATTTGTCATGTACCGGGAATCAACGCGAAAATAAGCTAGTAATGTGCACAATTTTGTGGATAATACTCAAATAGTTGTGAATTTTCAATGTTGCAAAATTCTCTCCTATATCTCAATCAAGTCCCATAATTTCAACTCGATATTATTATAATTATAAAGTAGTGTATTTTGTGGATTTGGAATACAAAAAAGTATCTTAATAATACTAGATTGGCGGCTACAGCACACGTATAATATTAATCTAAATAGTGTTATTGTTATATCTAAGTGTATGGCGTGTTATTGTGTCAATACGTGCGTGGCTCCCTGCTGATTTAGATTCCACCGCCACCGCGCCGTGGTTGAATCAGACTACGGCCTTTAATTAGTGCTAACCTATGTTATGAGCCACTACAACATAGATTCAATATGGGATATTTTTAATTAAACTAACATAACCAAGCAATGTTTACATATGGATGAAGTAAGTTTATTTTAAATCTATACTAATATTATAAAACTGCAGAGTTTGTTTGTTTATTTGTTTGAACGCGCTAATCTCTGGAACTACTGGTCCGATTTGAATGATTCTTTCAGTGTTGGGTAGTCCATTTATCGAGGAAGGCTATAGGCTATATATTTTTTTATTACAAATTAGGGATCCATAATAAAATTGCTATTTTGTAACACAAGGTGTAAAATCGAAAACCTATTTTTGCGTGCGCTGCAAAAACCATTGACAATAGAACAAAATGATGTACTACGGGTTTGTAGATCCCATTAAGACCTACAAAAAAGTCCGCGAGAACATATATCTAACTATCATGGTTTAACCACAATAACCGATTTTCTGTTCAAAATAATTATTAAATCGTCTGAAGAAACAAACTACGTTAACCTTGTATCGTAATATTAATCCTTATCGAAATTAAGCATTATGTTATCAAGAGTATTTATGTAGAAGTAAAATATTTTTTGTTTTATCTCAATCGGATATTTCGTTTAAAAGTTATCACGTGTGTAAGATGTTAAGAGTTGGTACCTATTAATGAGTTATGGGCCATAGAGTTTTTTATCAACATGAAATCCTGTAATAATCTTTTTCGAAATATATTTGTTGATGATTGTAAGTATAAGATCTTTGAAGAGTATAATAAATACATTTCTAAAATAACTCTGCTAAGGAAATCCACGCGCACTTGATGCAGGCTATAATGCAGTGCGATGCGTATTTGCAAGCGGTCGTGCGCCACTGTACAGTAAGGCGCTTTGCAGACGACGGGGCGGGGCGGGCCGGTCAATTTTGCCGCGAATAATAGCACAAAGTGAATCCTATACTTCAAACGCACACAGAGGGCAAAAAGACCGCGCCGCAGGTGCCCGGCGGGCAGTGGCAGCGCGGCATGTCCGTGGCTGCCCGCCGTGGATCATACAAACCAGTTTATGTGCAGTAACGCAGACAGCGGCGCGGGGGGGCTAGCTCAGTCCGCGCCACGCACTTTTTAGTGATGGACGATTCAATAGAACGAATGTCTTGTTTTGTGTACGCGGCGCGGGCAGCCGCAGACATCGACTGGCAGACGCGGTCTTTATTGCTTCGCGGACAAAAAGCCCGCCCCGCCCCGTCGTCTGCAAAGCGCCTAAGAATTTAATTCGCGCTCCACGCGGCAACAGCCGTCGTGAGTCGGTAGCAATGAGTTCCAAACAACCAATAGCTAACGAGTTGTTGGCGTTTATACAATACGCCATTGACACCATGGACGAGGTCAGCATCCTGCAGATCTGTAAGTCCAACTTCAAGGAGGATGAGGTTTGCAGTGGCAAGGCGCTGCTTTTCCGGTGTATCGGCAGGGCCGACAAGATGCCATCTCGACGGAGGGATGGAACAGAAAAGAGTGTGCAGCATAAAATCACCCTGCTAAAGGAGACGGATCCAGACGACGTGCCTACATTTGTAGCAAAGGAGCTACATAAGCTGCCCCCGGTCACGTTCGACCACGTCGATGTCATCAGGCTGCTGAAGGATATCAACTTCCTGAAAGCTAGCCTGGCTGATGTAGTGAGCAAGTTGAAGGACGCGAATAACACCATCGGTGAGTTGCGAGCTCAGGTAGACTTATTAAGCAACAATGCATGCGCAAGTAGGTCACCCGAAGCCTCTAACGTGAACACACGTCGTGGGGCGCAAAATGCTTCTGTCGGCAGCATTGAGTCAGCGCCTGCGAGTGCGTCACCGGCCGCCGTCACTGCGAGCGATGCCTCGAACGGTTCCGAATTGCGAGCGTCGTAGTAAACAACAAACAGAGAAGAGTAGCAAACTCAGCATTCAACGTGCTACTCCGGCAGCGTCACAAAAGCGGATTTCTGACGAAGAGGTTTTCATTAAAGTGAAGAGTATTGATGAATATGCTTATGGATATTTGATTTTGACTAAGTAAATAAATGAACGTCAATGGAAATTTTTGCATGAGAGAATAATTCTCTCGGAAAGCCTGGGAAACTGGTCTACCTTTTGTTGCACAACTTTTAATGTCATAATATTATTATGCAAATGGTATCTTCATTTCGCAGAACATCATTAGGCATTCATTTATCAGACATTCATAACTTATAATTCTGTGAGCCAAAATCAAGTTATAGGCATAAATTTAATATCCACAGTAATTAAAAAGCAGAACCATCATATCGCAAAAAGGTCACATACATAATCGTCTTTTGGCATACAAAATATTTTTAAACACACTTGTTCAAAACATGCATTTACAGAGGTACGTGCGGTAAAATCCGCACGCTCCCATACATGGCTTCGTGCGTATTTCTTACTGATTTTTTTGCTTTAAAAAAACCCAAGCCCGGTGGAAATCAAATTTGTCTCAAATAATTACTAAAAATGAGAAATGAAATACTGCATAGTTCGTATCTTCGAAATATTTTTCTAAAAGTGTTGGAGCAGGCTTGCTGACCTGGCTTGGAACATGTTAGAGGCTAGCTTATTTAAAGCTAGTAGTATAACAGTGACTGAGTTGATCACACGTCCAAAATGAACTATACCGCGAGCACGAACCCATATCGAATTCGAATAGTTTGTGAGTGCGAAATGTCTTTGTCATGCTAAGGGTACAGATGCGAAAAAAATGACAAATCTGAAGTGAAGCAAATGTAATAAAAATAATCACATGAATTAAGTATAATGACTCAAATTGCTAAATTTAGATTTCCTTTATGTTAAAATGCCTTATATAATGTTGTATTTTATTTTCATCTTGGCGTAAGCATAGATATTATAAGTCAGTGGTTCTCAAACTTTTTAAATGACGGAACCCTTTTGGGAAGCAAAATACTTGATGGAACCCTACAATAAAACAATTATTTTTATAAGTGTATTCTATATTAATCAGCATAATAAAAGTACAATGTATCCGTTACTAATTATTATTTACTTCACCACTTGGTAAGGACAATAATAGAAAACATTAAAAAAGAAAAAATCTAACTAGTGGGAGGTATGAAACTGTTTTTTATTTTTCATCAATTGCTTGATATCAGGTTTGATGGAAGAAAGTTGGAGTCTCATATCAGCTTCGGCGTCCAGTCTATTGCGATATTTTGTTTTCGTGGCTGCGTAGGTAGAGAATCCTGTTTCGCACAAATATGTAGTTGGGAACGGGAGAAGAATATCCAGAGCCATTTGGCCAAGCATTGCATATTCATCTTGGATTCTGCACCAAAAATCATTAAGAGGCGTCGTTTTGAACAATGACTCCATACTTGTGTCTGATGACATTTCTAAAAGAGATTCATATATCTCATTTGACATATTTTCAGGCTTTTCCAAGTTGGGTAAAAAAGGATTATGAATCCAGGAGTTCACTTTAATTTTTGTATTGTGTTCTTCGGGAAAATACTTTTCAAAAGATGCGCGCATCGAACTGAGATATTGGACCAATTCTTCAAACACATTATCTTCAAACATTTCTGAGTCGTTTTCGCTAACAAACTCAGTGAGTAACGTAAAACTTTCTATTTCTTTCTTACCAATGCAAATGATCCAAAAATCTAATTTTCTTTTAAAAGTAGTTATTTTATTATAGGCCTGAAACACTGTTGTCTGTTTACCTTGCAATGATAAATTTAATTCGTTAAGTTTTTGAAAGATATCCGCCATAAAAGACAATCGGAACAACCAAGTTTTATCATACAAACGGTCCTTCAAATTAAAAGAAGTATCTGCTGAAAGAAACATTTGTAACTCGG